CACCTGCATTTCTTGGGTTGGCCCGTCCCGGGCGGCGCCGCAGGCAGCTGGGAGGTGACTGGACCCAAGCCGAGCCTAAGGGAAGCCATGGGAAACCTACAGTCGTTTTCCAGAAGCGTCATCAGTATCCTTGTCATCATCGTCATCATCATCTCCCATATGCAGCAACCTGTCAGGACGTAGCATAGCCATGTTTGTAGAACCATCAGTGAAATGCCTCGACGGTCAGGAAGCCTCAATTGAGCGAGCGAGCGCGGGCGTGCGGGCGTGGGTGGGTGGCGCGCGCGCGGGTGTGTGTATGTGTGTGTGTGTGTGTGTGTGTGTGTGTGTGTGTGTGTGTGTGTGTGTGTGTGTGTGTGTGTGTGTGTGTGTGTGTGTGTGTGTGTGTGTGTGTGTGTGTGTGTGTGTGTGTGTGTGTGTGTGTGTGTGTGTGTGTGTGTGTGTGTGTGTGTGTGTGTGTGTGTGTGTGTGTGTGTGTGTGTGTGTGTGTGTGTGTGTGTGTGTGTGTGTGTGTGTGTGTGTGTGTAGTCAGGAGCCAACGCTGCACATAAACATAAGGATCTCACTAAGCAGGTTCTGCGCCTCCCTTCTTCTTGGACAAGCATTCGTACGCAGTCTAAGTAGGCACTACGTAAACAGAGTTTGCACCCCAGAAGCTAGTCTATGTGTAGCCGAATCAATGCCCTTGGGAACAAGATTTTAAAGTCAGCTATTACTCCTCGCCCGCTGAGATTACCTCCTGGCGTACCCAACCCCACAGACTACCGTGAGAATACCATGAGAATCCCTGGAGTGCCCAACCCCGCAGACTGCCGTGAGAATCCCTGGAGTGCCCAACCCCACAGACTACCGTGAGAATCCCTGGAGTGCCCAACCCCACAGACTACCGTGAGAATCCCTGGAGTGCCCAACCCCACAGACTACCGTGAGAATCCCTGGAGTGCCCAAACCCCACAGACTACCGTGAGAATCCCTGGAGTGCCCAACCCCACAGACTACCGTGAGAATCCCTGGAGTGCCCAACCCCACAGACTACCGTGAGAATTCCTGGAGTGCCCAACCCCACAGACTACCGTGAGAATCCCTGGAGTGCTCGGGAACACCAGGGTTTAAGGTTTATGGGATGTTCGAAGTAAAACAATTTTGTTCGTGTGTGCATGTGCGTTGTGTTTTTGCGCGTGCGTTGGTGTGTTACAGTGTTTGTGTTGTTGAGCACGGGTTTGCACGTGTGTGAGGGGGTGCGTGCGTGTTCGTTCGTGCCATTCGAGGTTGGCGGTTGGGAGGTAATGGGTGTAAGTTGGTCACCATAATTGGACCATGTTGCCATGAGAATTTAAGACACACTTGTTCAGATGCCGAGAAACAGGATGCGAAAGTGTCGCTGGTACGCATCAAAAACACGCACGACACCTGCCTGGGCAAGTGCTTATTCTGGGAGGAGTTTAATATGTAGAAGCGCTCTATAGGGGCCGCAGGTCGTACGCAGAATGTCAAGCTTATGCAATTGTCCGAACGGGCTTCAAGGCCTTCACTGCATATTTCTGACCTTTCACCGGTTGTGAATTAGAGCGAGTGTTTCTGTTTCTGGTGGTTGTGAACAACGGGATCTTCGGCCGGCCTATGCTCTCCTGCCGACATCCGACCAAAGGCTCTTAGAGGGGCCCCGATCTCACTTCGGAAGGACATTTGCGTATCATGTTTCGATCTACCTGACAGATTCGACTGCCATTAATGCAATTGCTGCTAATGTTTCAACAGGCTTGCTGGGGCTGCATATGTTTTTTTCATGGGTTTCCTCAACATAGGATGTGTTGCAATTGCTCATGATAGAAGGTTTCTGCTAGCCGCACGCGGACCTGCTGACTTTATTTGGGCTCTGCCCGTGCTCGACACGGGCTCTCTAATGCGAGCTCTGGATCTTGGTCTTGGCAACTCATCGTCTATGGCGAATACGACCTCGGCTTTCGGGCCTAAATGAGGTTGGCAAGGACAAGAGGGATTCTGGATTGTAGATGCTTGATGCCCATCAGCTCATGTTGTACTTCGTGGTGTTGGGTGCCACGGCCCGGGAACATAAAGTATAAGCTTACCAAAGGATTCATAAGCCAAGCCTTACTTCAGCATTGCATGTTATTCCGCATGGGAGTACGTGCCAAGAAGGAGCATCCGGACGGACGTTAGTGGAACGGGCGACATGCCCTCCTCTCTTCCAGAGGCAAAAAAAGTCGCAGAGCCAGAACGGAATGAGTGGCCCTTGAACACGCAGCTGAGATGTCCTGCTTCCACAGGCCCAGGTCTCAGACTCCGCCACCCTCGGCCTCGAGCACATCGAGGAAGGCCTCCTGGCAGGTTCTCGGTTTTGAGAGGAGTGTGCACCAATACGCAGCGGCCCGTGGATTTCGAGTCACCATGCCAGTCCCGATGATGGGGTCAGCCTTGCATGCGCAGGTTCTTTGCGGCTTGCATTGCTTTACAATGTGGCGTCTTGGTGCCCTGTGTCGTGACTCGGCTCAGAGTTCAAGGAGGCTGCACATGGACTCAACAAGACCTTCAAGGCATGTGGATTCGAATACTGTGACATGCTGAAGGCACGCCCCCCTGCCCTACCCCGAAAAATCAACACCTCTTACCGTCACTTTGATGTGGCCAGTTCAATCTTATGTGACTCGCAATTTAATCTGAAACAAAAATCGAGAACGTGTAATTTCTACGTACGCATCTCGAGGACTGATGAAGTTTCTGCATCCATCTCTGTATGTGTGCATATCAGTACATACAGGTGCTGGCAGTGCTTGCTCTGTTGCACTCGCTCTATCTCCCTCCCTGTCCCTCCCTCCTCGCTCACTTGCTCTCTCTGTGTCTACTGTAGTCTCTGTCTCATTGTCTTCTACTTTCGGTCGCTCTTGCTCTCGCTCGCTCGCTGTCTCTCTCTCTCTCTCTCTACCCCTCTCTCTCTCTCTCTCTCTCGATGTCTTCTCTCTATGTATATAATAATATACCAATTGATATCCCTTTGCTTTCACTCGCAAAAACCTGCTGGACGCAATCATGGAGTGGCACGTGCACTTATGATATATTGGTGTTTTGCACAAGGCTGTTGCCTGCAGGCTATAGGCTATAGTGTATGGAAGTATGAAGAATAACTGAAACCGCAAGAAAGGTATTGTGTGTGTGTGTGTGTGTTTGCTTGTTGTGGCTGTGCCGCTTTCATTCGTTCAGACACATGTGCGACGTGGACGCGTATGTATATGCATATCTGTGTGGATGTTTATACTCCTTCATGCATGCACGTGTGCATTAAGGCACATACACGTGCAGTATGTGGATATGTGTGCGTACGCTCGTATGCACACACACACACATATATATATGATATGTATATATATATATATGTAGAGTTATTGTTATCATGCCTTGTTTTTATTATGATTATGATTATTATTGTCTCTCATAATACACACACATATATATATATATGTATACATAAAAAATATATACACATATAGATATAGGATGATATACAGGTAGGTATAGACATGTGTTCATACACACACACACGTACGTGTGCATACCTGTGTGCAAAGGACTACGCAGATATGATGCAACGATCTAAGTATATGTATGTACGTACATATGTATGTATGATATATATATATATATATGTACATATTGTCTGTGCACATGTGCAGACAGGTGGTATTTGCGTACATGTATTCACATGGTCAAGACACACATGATCGTTCATGCATGGCCAAGCCCGATAAGTGTAGTTTGTAGCCCGTGTATGTACGCATATTTGTGTACATGCATGTATGCATGCATGCACACCCGCCTATATTTACATGTGGCATGGACCTTTAGGGTCTATTTGGCAATCCTGCTGGGCTTTGTATTTAAACTGCAACAACACCACGGCGACAAGGACGACGACGACTCGGTTTAGCACGACGACGACTGGGTTCAACACGGCGACGACAAGGTCTGGCACGACGGTTACATCGGGAGGCCGAAGCGTGTGCAGTGTAAAGGTCTCGACAGGAGTTTAAGGGTCTAGGGTCTTAGCTCCTAACTATGGTTTACCGCGGTCAGTATACTATGGAAGATCTAAGGTTTGGAGTTTATGAGGATTTAGATGGTTTTACGCTCTCACAAGTTCTCCGTGCTGGTTTTAGGGTCTATCACAATGTCCTCCCGTCCCTCTCGCGCCGGGAACCATCAAGAATCTGTCTTGTGTATTTCTCGTCCTGTGTCTTTGTCTCATTCCCGTTCCTCTTCCTGCCTATCCACTCTGCCGTTTGTCAAGAAGACACAGAAATTGAAGTCATGACAGAGGAATAGGCATGAAGATGGACGAAGTGAACTCTTCATTCTCTCGTCTCTCCCTTCTCTCCTTCCTTTGACTGATCTTTTTTCTGTTTCTTTTCTTGTCGCCTTCTGCTGTCAATGACAGGGGTAACACGAGGGAGGGGCAAAGGGACGACGTCAGTTCCTCTCGACGTGGTTCGTTTTTTCATTTCCTCTCGCGTTGTCTCTCTTCCGCCTCTCTCTCTCTCTCTCTCTCTCTCTTTTTTTGCTCTGTCTTCCTCTCTGCCGTGTCTCGCTCTCTCATCTCTTCTGTCCCCTCTTTCCTTGCTCCCTTGCTGGAAGGAATAGAAAACAGAAGCGAAGACATAAGATGGAGGAAGATGGTTGGGAGAAGGAAGGTGGATTCCTCCCTCACTCGGCTCTTTGACTTTCTTTGCCCTTGCCTTCTTTTCTCTGCTCCTATCCTTCTTCACAATTAGAAGGAGAAGCGACAAGAACGGAGAGCTCAGGGAGAGCAAGTGACACTGTTCCTCATAATCTCCTCCTTCCTCGTGTTCATTGCGTTGTCCATCTCCCCCTCGCTCTCTCTCTCTCTCTCTCTCTCTCTCTCTCTCTCTCTCTCTCCTCCATCCTTTCCTCTCTACTTCTGCACATTTACTTTTCCACTTCTCTCGCCTACTACATTATGCTTGATTTGATACTTATCTTCAACTTTCTCTCACTCTCTTTGTCCCATCGCTTGCCCTGTTCCTTCTCCTCCTCCCTTCCCTGCCTCCCGTCCTTCTCCCCTTATCACTCAGAAGGAAGAAGGAAGACTCACAAGGAGAAAGACAAGGGAGTAAGAAAACAGACAAAAGAAACGGAGAGAGAGCCATAAGGGACGAAATACAGAAACAAAGAGAGAAAATATGGGGGAAAGATAATCAAAAAGAGAGACAGAAAGAGGAGGCGATGCATAAAGCAGCCGACAGTGCCTTGACCTCCACGTCTATTCATTCTTTGTTCTTGTCCTATCACACTGTCTCATTGGTGATAAACCAGGAAGAGCTTGTGGAGGGAGACGAGGAAGAAGTGTTCTCCTCTTCACTCACCTTGTGCCCTTCCTCTCCCACCGCTCGCCCGCTCTCCTTTCTTTGATTTTCTTGTCTGGCGGAAAAGTGGGAACCAGGAAGGAAAGTGGACCAGGGAAAGGACGAGATTGAGAAATGACAGAAAGAAGAGAGATACGGAGAGAGCGAGGGAGAGCTTCAAGCCCAGCAGAGGAAGAAGAGAGAGGAAGATAAGAGAAGGGAGCAAGGGGTGGCCAGAAGAAGCGTAAGCCAAAGCTACGTATTGAAAGGGCGGAAGCCCCATTCTCTTCTTCTTCCTCTTTGCTCTCTTGTTTTTCTCTTAGCGCAGGGCATGCATGGAGCTAGGAAAGGGAAGGGGTCAAAGCGGATGAGAGAAAGTAACGGAGAGAGCTGTTCTTCGTCCCTCTCACCTCCTCCTCTCCTTCTCCTGATGCTTACTCATGTCAGAAGGGTCTGGAAAGGAGTGAAGGCTAGGGCATGGACTGAAGCGAGGCAATAGGTGAAAGTGGATAAGAGAAAGTCATAGACAGAGAGTGGGGGAAGTCGAGTGCGAAAGAAAGAGAAACGAGGAAGACTAGGAAGAAGGACACAGAAGAGGAAGCGAGAGAGTACCAGTGTTGCCGTATCTCAAAGGACTCCGGGCCTCGCGAGGGCTTTGAGGAGGCTTGTAGGCGCCTTCAGACACTTCCACAACTTTCTGGAGGCCACCAACTTCCTCCCTAAGGGAGCCTCCCGAGGACATGAACACCAAACCGAGTATAAAGAAAGCAGGGGGATGTAGAGAAGCAGAGTGTGGTAAGAAGGAGCAAGGAGACTCAGTTCGCGTCTCCTCATCGTTTCCTTTTTGAATGACCAGAGGAAAGAAAAGGATAAGAAGGAGGAAAGGCTCTGCGAAGACATCAGGAAAGAAGAGCAAACAACAGAAAGGAAGCGGTAAGATGCGGGAAGACGGTTCGGAGAAGAAAGGAGAATTCCTCCTTCGCTCGCCTCTCTTACTTCCTTGCCCTTCGCCTTCTTCCTCTTCTCTTACCCTATTCATCTTCATAAGGAAGGAGAAATGAAAGGAACGGAGAGTTCAGGGCATGCAAAGGGCACTCTTTCTCATCACCTCATCCATCCTCCTTTTCATTGTTCTCTCCAGATCCCTCTTTCTCTCTCCCTCCCTTCCCGTCTACTTCTGCACATTCCCTTTTCCGCTTCTCTCCGCCTATTATGTTCGCTTTGATAAAATCGCTTGCCCTATTCCTTCTCCTCCTGGCTTTCCTGCCTCCCGTCCTTCTCCCTCTATCACTCAGAAGGAAGAAGGACGATTCACAAGAAAGAAGCGTAAGCCAAAGCTACGTAATGAAAGGGCGGAAGCCCCTGTCTCCTCTGTTCTTCCTCTTTTCTCTCTTATTTTTCTCTTAGCAAAGGGCACGCATGGAGCTAGGAAAGGGAAGGGGTCAAAGCGGATGAGAGAAAGTAGCGGAGAGAGCTGTTCTTCGTCCCTCTCACCTCCTCCTCTCATTCTCCTGATGCTTGCTCATGTCAGAAGGGTTTGGAAAGGAGTGAAGGCTAGGGCATGGACTGAAGCGAGGCAATAGGTGAAAGTGGATAAGAGAAAGTCATAGACAGAGAGTGGGGGAAGTCGAGTGCGAAAGAAAGGGAAACGAGGAAGACTAGGAAGAAGGACACAGAAGAGGAAGCGAGAGAGTACCAGTGTTGCCGTATCTCAAAGGACTCCGGGCCTCGCGAGGGCTTCGAGGAGGCTTGTAGGCGCCTTCAGACACTTCCACAACTTTCTGGAGGCCACCAACTTCCTCCCTAAGGGGGCCTCTTGAGGACATGAACACCAAACCGAGTATAAAGAAAGCAGGGGGATGTAGAGAAGCAGAGTGTGGTAAGAAGGAGCAAGGAGACTCAGTTCGCGTCTCCTCATCGTTTCCTTTTTGAATGACCAGAGGAAAGAAAAGGATAAGAAGGAGGAAAGGCTCTGCGAAGACATCAGGAAAGAAGAGCAGACAACAGAAAGGAAGCGGTAAGATGCGGGAAGACGGTTCGGAGAAGAAAGGAGAATTCCTCCTTCGCTCGCCTCTCTTACTTCCTTGCCCTTCGCCTTCTTCCTCTTCTCTTACCCTATTCATCT